CAAAAGAATGACAACACCACGAAACTGAAGGTTAATAACATCATGGAGAAACTCGCGGCTCTCCAACGGGAGATTGAGAGACCAGTGTTGGAGTGTTAAAAACAGCTTTGAAATTCTCATGAGTTGTTGCAAAAAGAAAAATTACCATCACAATCCGGCTACCCCTTCTGCACCAGCTGTGGGCTCAAGGCTGGAGCCAAACAAAAACTCCCCGATAACGACTGTGTTGAGTCTGTTCCCTCCCATTCCCTACAAGGCCACCTGGGTTAGCTGGAAGACTGTTTACTTAGCCTGGCAGGGCGAAGGACACTGTCTCAGCTGAACTATGGACACGCACACACATACATATACTGATACTGATAAGCACTCACTGACGCATCACCCTCCCTACCCCGGATCCAACACCACCTCCAACGCTTACCTCCCCTCTGATGTGGACATCGGGTCAGCTGGAGGCGCAGTCGAAAGATCAGTCCCAGATCAGATGTACACACTGGAACACTTTCCCATGTTGCTTGTCTGCGTTTATTGTGCTATGGTGTGTTGATATCTGTGCATTCCTGTATTATCCTTTTGTGTTACACATTTCGATGTTTTTTTTCCTCGCTGACCTGTCTCCCCAATGTGATGTTTGTGTATTATATGTACGGTCGGCAAGGTCTGTCATCTCGGTTGTGGGCAAAAGACTATCTCATCTCATCACTTCAAGCTATTTAAAAATCTCTGCTTTTTATTCAGTTGATTGCAGTGCAGCAGTTGTCTTACAGATGTCTCTGAGGCTGAGCTTGGGAGTTTCATAATCCATTTTAGCTTTCTTTTTTATTTTGCTATTAAACCAAAAACGTGTGGCGGTTAACAATCACTGCCCTTGTTTATAACGACGAATACTTTTTCTAACGGATCATACATTTTAGTATTACTGTGCTCCAGAAAACCCTGCATATATATTTCAGTGTTACTGGTTTGTGCTCGCAGCGTGGACTGAGTCGAATATTTCGCCGTGCTTGTCAGTCGCATAGCTGCATATGCAGCAACAGCAGCAACGGTTCGTTGCCCCCTGAGGAAAAATGGGTGATCTCATGACAGGTGGAGATGATGTGTCACAAACATATCAGAGTTTTTGTTGGTGCAAGTAATGCACACAATATAAGGGTACATTTTTATTGATGCAGAAAACTATTTTTCGGATGTGTCGGTCATGGATCGTAGACCTCTGGTGCTCCATGAAGCCCACTTTGGGAACGGCTGGCCTATGGAATAAACACGGAGGCAAGGAAAAGACAAACCATCGCAGGCAAATCACAAATGTTGATTGATTCTTTTGTCCTTTTGGTGCAATCCTCTTCCCATCTCTTCTACCATTTATATCACAAATTCAAGTCCATCTATTAAAGTGTGATTAAATTACCGCTTTAATTTGATTTTAGCCCAATCTCTCCTTCTGCCCTGGCGGAGCTGCTGGAGCTCCAGGAAACAGGACACATCTCCTCTTCAGTTGCCAAGCAGGTCAGTCAGCTACACAGACAATGCAATTATCCCCTTTCGGTTTGTCATTCAACACACGCAACCCAGCTACCGCTTGTTTGTATTCTGCTTCTCACCTGCGTTTCACGGGTTTCTCCGTGTTCTTAGGTGTTCCAGGAGATGTGGAGGTCACCAGGCAAGACAGCCCTGCAGATCACCCAAGAACAGGACTTGGGGCTTGTTAGTGACACCGCACAGCTGCACATCATCTGCCAGAAGGTGGTGGACTCGCATCCAGATGAGGTCAGGGCTCACAATGTCGCGTGTAATCACGAGTGAAACATCTCAAAAACATGTCCAAAAATCCCTCTGTGTGCCTCTCTGCAGGTTCACGCGATCAGAAGCGGGAACAAAAAAGTTCTGAACAAGTTGATGGGTCTGGTTCAGAAAGAGACCAAAGGAAGAGCTGATCCAGTTCTGGTGAGGGCGATTCTACAGAAGAAGACCTCGTGAAGATCGCACTGTAGTGTGAGACGCAACTGCATCAGTCTGACAATAAGACATGTTAGAAAAATAAAAACTATTTTGGCCTAATGGAAAAATCAGGCCCCTATTCTTATTTTTGACTTTGACATTTTGTAAATATTGAAATCTATTCTCGTCTGTATTTATATGTTTGAGAAGTAATAAAGTTTTCAGACTGTGACTGTCTGTAGCGGAGGTGCATTGCCGTTCAGTTTGTTTTGCCAGTGAACAAACGGAATTTCGAATCTTTCTTAGGATGTCCACTCATGGTGATAAGATAGTCGAGGTGGCTTTTATGTGCAGTTCTTTTATTTAAATCTAGTAGTCATGGCCATCAGGGATGGCTGAAAAGCTGATCTTAAGTATTATTTCCCTTAAAGCGAATGTGTGTAATTCAGTTTAATTCGTTCCATATAACTTAATGTCCCATTTGGCTATTGCTATGTTGGCCATTATGGTCATTTGTGAGGCAGAAGATGAAACTGCTGACATGACATTCGCTGGCTTATTGAGAGGAGCTGAGAAAACCTGCCAGCTCAAGAATCCAGGAAGGATCCCAGTCTGAGAGCTCCCTCTGGTGGTTGTCTTAGTCACTGCTTGGAAATGGAAAATGTTTACTCGGCACACACACACTTCAAGTTCAAGGTTTTTAATTATTATTATTATTATTATTATTACTATTAACAGAGGCATTCCTTTGTATCTGAGACAACAGTGAACAGCAGCCTGGTTAAATCTTGAACACAAAACAGATCAAAAGTCGTATCAGATGAGTCTTTGGAAGATAAATCTACTGAAATTGGTTGATCAACTGCAGTCGTGCCACAGAGGTGTTAGACAGTGAGTGGCACTGTGGTATTAGAAGGCTGATAAAGTGCTCTGCAACATTCATAAAGACCTATTCAGCGGTCCTGAAAATGGCTTTGACTTGTAGATTTTGAGCCGTTTTGTAAAGAAAAAATAAACGTATTTGTATCAAGTAGGAATAAAACAATTTAAAATGAAACACAAAGTTTCATGTTTCAGATTTAAACCTAAAAGTAAAATCCAACCTTCTCAGCTCAACTTCTAGATAAGACCATTGACCTACTCGGTGTAGTTCACACATTCCTCTGCTCAATCAAAAAAAAAACCTACATTTTCAGCTCATGCTGCAAAGTTTCATATTGCTCTTGTTTAACTCCTTCACAAATCAGGCAACATTGTGAAGTGAAATCATAACTTAGACAACAATTTGCAAGTATTTCTATGTTGGAAGGTTCATTCAGAAGAAGCATGCTTTGTAACAAAATATATATGTATATCTCATAGCATCTCCTTATACTGATAACCATGTGCAGACTAAATTAAAGGCAATTCAAAGCAGGCTACCTTCAACACAATCCAAACTGATTTTCAACAGATGCAGAACTATGATTGAAATTTCAAACTGATCACAGCTAACACAACACCCTCAGCAGACGAAGGACCGCACGCTTAAAAACAAACAAAAAAAAGCAACTAACCTCATCAAGAAAAAAAATGGCAACAGAAAAAAAGAGCTTAAATACCCCGATCCCGTTACGAAACATGCTGAACTTAATTATTCTTGATTGTCACCAGAGCATACAATATGTACATTATGAGGCATCATAAAGGTAAGGCAGACAGTTAAATACGTCACTGCTGAACCTGGTTTGTCGGTTTTTCGCAGATATGGAAAGGCGCAGAGGCCACAAGTGTGGAAATCTAGTGCATCGTTTCACCTACAGCTGTTTAAGAAAATCTCCTGAGGTACCGTCGTGAATCAACAGGGAAGGAAACTAAATCTAACACGATGATTTTGTGGAAACGCCCCTTCGTGAAGACATATTTTCGCCAAAGAATTAAGTGTCACAACAGTTGCATAAGAACAAAGTTTGGGTGCGTTTCTGCGAAGTTGCCAGCACTGCACCTTGCAGTGATCCATAGACGCAACACTTCTGAAAGGCCACCTGAGTAATATCGAGTACCACACTGAGCAGCAGATGTCGTACTGTGGATGGAGCTGGTTGTAGAAGACATTCGGGTTGAGGTCAGGACCCAGACGGTTCAAATAAGGGCTGATGACTGCTTTAATTCTTTAAATGTCTACAGTCTTTGGTTAGTGGTGGAGCTGGAGCCTTAGTCATGAACATTTCGGCTGGTGAAAGGCAACAAACTGGTCAAAGTTGAGAAATCCTCCTTGGCTGCCAAATTCTTTCCAGAAGTGGAATGAATACATTTAAAAAGTTCATGAAGTTTTTCTTTTGCTTGGAAAATAAATACTCTATATTTTTAAAAAGTAGTTGTATAAAAATCACTGGATCTAAAAAGGTTTCTATCAAGCGCTGCCCAAAAAGGACATAAATATCAAAAGAGACTCTTTTTATAATCTTTCCTAGTTAGGCTGGACTCTTGACGGAGGCCTAATGGGACACAATTACTCTTCCATAGGAATGTAAGATAAGATGGAGTGCTCTTGTGCAATTGCAGCCAGTTCTTTAAGGAACTCAGTGAAGAGGATGGTAGCGAAGACCTCGGTCCGCTCCAGGGAGATAGCTTTGGGTTTTGGTGGGGGTGAATTCTTTAGGATCCTTCCCCCCTCGTGGTGGTTGGAACCGCTGCTGCCGCCGCTTTTGTCTGTGAGGATAAAGATTGAATGAGTTGCACCGACTAACAACCACGTGAATACGCTGACATACTGTACATGCAAAAGTCTGGATTCAAAGATATTCTCTAAACATATTTCCGTTTCCTGATTTCTAAATACTACGCTCTGCTCGTCTAAATAATTCCCTTTAAAATTCCTTTCTTCTGACAACAGTTTTTCAAGCCTGCTCAGCTCTGAACCTACAGGGAATATAGTTCAAAGCCCCGGCTAAAGCTTCAGGGCTAGAAAGAGAAAGCAGCTCAACTCCAAAGACACACAACTTAAAGAACTCAGCACAGGCAGTTAGATTTATTCTGGTACCAAACAGGAGCCCAAAAACAACCAATCAGGAATGCCGATGTTGCCTTGAACCATATTTAACACCATGCTGGTAAGGCTCAGGAATAATAAACTGTAAATCTAATGCAATCTGCCTTACTAACCATCTGGAATCTACCAAAATACTTCCCAGAAAGCTTTTACAAACAAACTATTCCTGGCAGGGCTAGCAGGGTAGCTTATGGGTTCTCACAGTATAATCAAAGAGATATATACATATATAAATAGATACTTGATTTTTCATACTGTTATAGAGCCATGTGCAGATTTCAATAAGAGCTAAAACAGAAAAGGAGAATCTGAGCTGTTGTCACCTGTTTCTATGAACGAGGGCTCCCGAGCCATTAGACAGTGTTGGGCAGCAGTGATCAGCTCTGTAAAGTCCTTCTTGCTGGCAGCCAGCTCCTCTATCTGGTTCTTTACAATGGCTAGTACCTAAAACACAAAGCAAAAGCAACATGATTTGCATGTGCACCATTTACAGAGGTGATATGATTAAGGCTCAGATAAAGACAAGCGACTTAAAACTAAAAGTGCCAAGTATTTCCAAATCCCCCAACTAAGACCTCAAAACTTGAGGGGTTACCTGGTAAAGAGAGCGAACAGTCGGCTGAAAAACCAAGTTGGTGTTGAGGAGGAAGGAGCGCAGCAGAGGCTGAGGGTAAGCAGCTAACTGGGCCAAGATACCCGTCAGCAACAGGTTGACATGAAGCGAGTTGGATAGCATGTTCTCCAGACGAGATAAAAGCACGCTGATGAATGGACCTGCAGGGAAGGAGGTTCAAAATAAAAATTCTTTCCAAATTCATTTTTGAACAAATGATGAGACTCCTACAGAGCTAAGATATTCCTCAGCTCACCTGTAAAAGGTAGTGAATGGTTTTTAGTCGCACTCCCGCTGCGAAACCTGTTGATTGTCCCAAATGGTGAATGCAGTTTCTCTGGCTCTGGCGTTTCAGCAGAGAAGGAGGCGAAATCCATCTCGTCCTCCTCCACCACCTCCACAGGCGTGATGGGCTTCTTCACCTCTCTGTCAGCTTTGACCTGTTTTCCACCTGCTTCGGGGTCCAAAGTGCGAATGAGCTCCTCATACTGAGCCAAGAGATCGTCACCCAACGCTACAGCAGTCGTGTTTTGGAGGTTGGCGTTGCAATCCGTCTGACCATTAGCCTTTGCGTCCAAGCTATTCCTGCTATTATCAACGATCGCAGAGCATGGAAGTGTTAGATTGAGCCCATTTTTGAGGGGAACGTCAGCTGAGCCTGGCTTGGTTTCTTCCGTTTGCGAGCTACTGGGTTTACTGGTGCGCTCGACATCGCCGGAGTCTTTCTTTGCGATGAGATCGTACACCATGACGTCATCCTGGAAGTCGTTCTCCTCGATGTATGAGCCTTTAACCAACATTCGTGCTGTTCTCCTCATCTGCTGGATGTGCTTCGGGGGCTCAGCAGGAGGCGGCTGGGGAGGTCTGCTCTCTGCCGGAGCATCGGCGGTCTGCACGGGGCACGCGTCGTAACTGTCGTCCCACTCCAGCTCCAGCTGGTTGACAGGAAGCGGGTCTGTACCCGGCGGCACGCAGGATCCTGCTTGCGATGCAAAGGGATGTTGAGCTTTCTTGAGAGCGATCTGGGGGTGCCGACTCGTTAGCCCCGGCTCTTCGAGGACACCCGGCTGGTATTTCTCAGGAGGTGGGTCCTCGCCATCGTACGGGGCTGACCACACCCTGCAGGCACGTATGCAGCTGCTGATGCTCAGACGGGCGTCGTAGAGGTAATGAAGATAACTGACATCCAGGTAGATTTCTGACCCGATGGTGCAGGAGTTTCCTGAGCCATCATTTTCTTCAGAGAAACTCATTTCTTCCTCTGATTTAAAAAAAAGAAAGAAAGAAAAAAGAGATAAGAACTGTTGATAAAAGCTGGTGTGCCTCAGCACAGCACTCACACAGAGCACAACTAATGAGTTTGACATGTAACTACAGGGGGTAAAGTGATGTAATGCATCGAAACAGCGGGAGATCTCGCTATTTGATAAAATACTCACAATCAGCCCCGTTACATGTTGGTTTCCCAATTAAATGCAGATCTACACCTTACAGTGCGCCATATGTCTGAACAGATTTGGGAAACGTTCCATTAATAAATTATCCCATTTTCATTTTAGTTCCTCAACCACCACATTAAAGGATTTTTTTTTTCACCATTTATGCCAAATTTTCTGACATGTTATTAGGTTATAATATCCAACGTTTCAGTTACCTGACTGAGTGAGTTGATTTGAGCCCATTATTCAGCCAGTTAGACTAACTAACCAACTGGAATAACTGGAGCACTTGACCATGCTTTTCTACTTGGGTATTGACAGATATGGATACTTATTATCCATGTCTCTCAGGAATATAATATATGTAGAAAGATCCGAGAGCATTTAATAATTTTTAAGGTATTACATGTATTTAAAGTTTGTTGTTGCCATGACAACAGACACTGTCTATTAATCTTTCCTTGGGAAAAGAAAAGGTGTTTAACAGTTAATTTATTATTTTTGTTCTGTAACGTTAAATACAGTTAACAGTGTGCATTTTAACATAGTAAGCAAAAAGAATCAAGCTTTTCAAATAGAAAAGAACTGTTTTACACCATCAGGTTAGGGCTGAGCAGTTGATTGAATTTTCTTAATATTAAACATCAAGCAAAAGCAAGTTGCTGTGTGAGGATCTGCCTGCATGAGCCAATCACAGATGTTCCCTGCAGTGCACTGCATGAACTTCCCTAGGTTCAGCTTGGATCAGTAAAAAAAAACATAAAAGTTAAATAATTAATTAAAATAAAACGGAGCAACAACAGATAACAGACCGTCTAAACAACAATCAAATGTCTGGCACAGCAGGAGGCGAAGAGCTTCTCCCTTGAAGCAGATCATCATTTGATGTTTGGAAATATGCCAAAAAGCAACACAACCAACTTATTCAACCGCCTGAAAACGCAGAATTAACTGCAGTGTAGTTAATGCAAAATTAATAATTTAGGCTTCAGGAAGGCAGTAAACATGCTGGACGAAAGACTTCATCATACCAAAGTCACTGTGGCCATACATTTTACTAAAAACACAAAAAAAACCTGCAAAAGTAATACTCGATTGTTCTATTTGTTACCTGTGTTTCCCGAATTGTCAGGAGTCTCTCCGCCCTTGGAAAACAGAATGGAGTCCAGCTGCCGGAGTGGCGGCGGGCTGCGATCGGGAGGGCAGCAGGATGGCGTTAACGCCAGGATTTTCGCTGCTGAGGCCGAATAGCAGTCCCGCTCCCTCACTACACGTCTCTGACTCAGCATCATGTGATTACAGGGGATCAGGTACCTGGGGAGGCATATGAGAGGGAGATGTCAGGAAAGCCAACGTGTGGCTGTAGGCAGAGAATGGTGAGGAGGGGACAGCGGGCAGATGGTAACAGCGGGAGGTTGCGAGTAAAAGCTCATCGTAATGTAAAGCAATTAGATGCAGCATGTTACCACGAGTGGGACGTGTCAGCGTGCGGGCTGCTCACCTTAATACGAGCTGCAGCATCACATCTTCACAGTATAAACCAATGAGAGTGCGGAAGAGTGCCAAGGACACAATCCCCAACTGTAGAGTTTAATCAAGTCAGAGAGACACAACAGAGCAAATTTTAAACACTAATTTATTCAGTCCTGAAGATATTTGCACAATAAATTTCACAATATAGGAGAACTGGTTAAACAATCACATATGTTTCCTGTAACAGTAGAAAGAGCATCTGGGACCATTTGTAAAACCTGTTCCTGGCTTATTAAACCTGAGCCACGCTCTATGTGCTGCATGTCAAAACTCGTTCCCTTAGCTGTGTGCTGGGTTACCTGGAAAGGTGTGTTGATGCGGCTGACTAGAGTATCCAAGACGTGGACGTTCTCGTGACGGTGGAGGAGGATGAAGGAGAGGAAGGTCTGCAGCAGTGCTGGCTCGGTTACACTTCGCAGGAAGAGGTCCAGGTAAGCTGTGGTGGTCATCACCTCCTCCAGGGTCACCTGTACACACGCAGGAATCAATCAGCAGAGCTTGTGTGAGTGCCACAATAAATGATCAAATATTAAAACCTGATTGTGTATTGTAGCAGTACTGAATTAAGGATTCATTTAAGCGAGGGAAATTAGATAATTAGGTAATTTAATTATTGCGTGCGGTATTGCCTCATTATAAAAGAACTAAACAAATCATTGCATTATATAGAATTAAATATGATGTCCTTGACTATACATTAAATAGCCTAGAATATGGGTCGTCTTACACTTTCTTCCAACTCTCTCTCTTGATAGTTTAACCTAACTAGTGTCCTTTTTACCTTTAGACACAGCCCAGTTCATGGATTTTCTGATGCCAAGCTCATATTTAATGGATGACAGTGACGGTGATATCTATCAGCTCAATTAATTTCTTGGGTAGAGGGGAAGAAATATGAGTCATTTTTGGAGTGTTTATGCTTGTATGTTTTTGTTGACACACCGCGTCGTCCTGCAGAATAACCGCTTTCTGTAATTGGGAAATGAAACAGCAAAATGGCAAGTACTTCCTTTTACCCAGGTGAAGAGAAATTGTGCTACTGCTAACCTTGTGGAGTGCTGGTGCAAGGACAGGCACAAGGAAACCATTGTAGATGTAACTAACCAGCTGGTCTCTGATATCAGGGTGGGCCACCTGGGAGCAGTCAATATCAAGGAGCATGTCAGTCAAGCGTGTAGCCAGGCAGGAGGTTGCAGCCATTTATCACACGTGAATGCATTTTTCATGAGGCAGAGCTTTTATCGTGCGGCTCACGTCTTCACCTGAATAACAGCGTTGCAGAATTCCAGTGAGTTGAGAAACTGGATGAGTGATGGCATCTGAAGCCAGTCCTCTTTGTGCAGGCAGTGCCACTCTTCATTGGGGACCTCCAGCTTGGTGGGCAGAGATGAATACAGGCCGCTCAACCCTGTGGCCAGCACCTGCCAAACGAGGTTTTTATATTTAATCTATGCACCGTTCATATAAAGTTTCCTCCAGAACCAAAATATAATTCAAATTTGTGGTTCTAAGTATAATTTACTTTTAATTTTGAGTAATTAATTTTCTTTAATTGAATCATTGAGACAAATTGTTTAAAATAATGACATTCCCATTACTCTCATGCATGAGGTAAGTACAGCTACATTATAACGGCCCATTTACCTGAACATAGGAAAAAGCACACTGTGTTGCACATACATGCATCATGTAATATAAGAAGTCTATTAAAAATCATCTGCCATAAATTGATTACAGAGAGAATGTTATAAACTTCATTAAACATTAACGAGGTAGTGTACCATATAGCAGATGCAGACACACACACACACCTCCTCTGCTGTCAGTTTTACCTTAAGCTTCAACAGATTTATTACTGTGTTTTACTACAAAGCTAAAACACTGGTGTAAATCACTTCTTGGCCTCTGCTTTGTAACTTGTAATGCAAATATAAGCGATGCAGCAGTCTACATATCAGCCTGCTGCTTTCTCCTTGCACAGATTTATGCCTCCTATGGATCAGCTCAGCTCGGAGACCTTTAGCAGTATTTGAGATGCGACGTGACTAATGCTTTAATTTCAAAATAAGATTCCATCTTATTTTGAAATCCTTGTGTTCTGGGCCAGATTATCCAGGCATTCTGGGCATATGTCCACAGGCCTCAGACACAGTTGAGGGCCCACCCAAGCACCAAATTTTAAAAAAAGAAAAAATAATACCAGATTTTGATTCTCTTAAACTTTTTTGGATAAATAAAAACATATATCATGGGCGCAGTGTAAGGTACACTGCTCTCCACAGGCACACATTCCCATATGATCTGTCTAATTACTTAAGAAGCAAAAAACGTGTAATCATCAAATCAAGTTGGCGCGTGCCCATCGCATATTTGTGCCCAGGGGTCTTTAACTTGATGATCTGGGCATGCCTGCATTGTAAGTACCAAGAACTGCTTTACAAATGCAACACAGGCTATACCAGCGCAACCAAATTAAAGTGTACGATGAGTGACATTATTAGTATTGTAGTATTGTACACGTTCCTCTGCAGCATTATTCCGCTGTGCCCTTCTTGTAGACGCCAGTGGAACCAATTAAATTCTGTCTGCATTCAAACCTCATTTTGAAAGCACTGTCTGCAGCCGTGAATAAATGACGTTATTTACATGGGATTATCTTGCAGCTGTGCTGTAATCTTATAAATGCCACACATTTGGTGCCAGATTTTTATTTACCCTTGTTTTGGGGTTTGTTTGTTTTTTTGCTTTTTTAAGCGAGCCCATGAATTAATCACCATCCGCTCTCTGACTAATTATGACACCCAGACACAGAAATGTCAGGGAACAATGCTGCCAATGTTAGTGCGTGAGTGGGATTATTTAGTATTTAGGACAAAACGATTCCTTTTGAATTTTACGGAAAGTGAGCCGCTGAGCTTCCATTTGGGACTGACCGGACAGAAGAAGGTGTTCTCTGCGATGTGTTTGGCCACTCGCTCATTCTCAGCAGACAAAGACATGATGAGCAGTAAGGCATCTCTGGCTTGCTGGCCCACCGTGCCCTCTCTGTGAATAAAAGGGATGAGCAGGGAGAAGATGAGGAAGTTGGTGGCTCCCTGATCCTCGCTCGTGTGGAAAAACAGCTCCAGAATTGAAGGGTCCTTCGCCAGGACGTAGCACAGCTGGTTGAGCAGCAACACCAGCTCGGCTTCGACCGCGGGCGCAGTGGTGCTCGAACAGGAGGACAGCAGCATCATGAGAGGCCGCAGGATGGGCTTGTGGTGCAGCAGAGGCTGGCGCGCCTGGCCCACCAGCATCTCGTACATTTTCAGCTGCTCCAGCTTCATGTCGTCCGTGAACTCTCGACGGAGGCTCCACACAAACAGACGCTCCATCACGTTCTCCATCACCACAAACTCCAGGATGGGGCCCATGGCTCCGGCCTGACCGCTCTCCTCCTCCATCAGCAGGAACAGCATGTGCTCCACATAATTCTGCACCGCGTTTGCCTCGTCTCCAGGGATGGGGCCGAAACGAGAGCTGCCGCTAGAGCCGGCGGTGAGGTTGATGACACTGAGGGAGGACAGGGCGGAGCTGCTGCGCAGGGGATCATGCTTTTCAAGGATCTTCACTACCTACAGTACAAGAGAAGAGGAAAAGCACACTAGTTTTTAATTGTTCATGCAGAAATAGAATACAGATGATATAAGATCTTAGACTTTTAAGTCACCCAAGAAAGTGTCTGTCATACAGATAAACTCCTGTTATCTTTGATCTAACCTCTGTGGTATAAGAGGTTAGATCTGAAATGTTGGCGTTTTATGATGCTTTTATTACAATACGATGCCATGAAAACCACACATGCTGGATTGCTAACAGACAAACAGACCCTACTTTGTGGGGGAAACTGTGTAATTGTTTTTAATGAAATACTAAATTGCCTCAGTTTAAACTTCTCAGACGTTTTCTATGTTCTTATGGGAATAAAATATGGGTTTGTGAGATTTGCAAATCATTGCATTCTGTTCTTATTTACACTTTACACAGTGTCCAAACTTTTTTGGAAGTGGGACTGTATGCAATACAAATAGGTACAATCACTTCCTTATTCCTGACAGGTTCAGTTTCAACAAAGTGGAGTGGGGACAAGCAGCACTGTATGAATAAACTCACTTTGGTTGCACAGAATAATACAGTCCTTTGTGTATCCAGTCCCTCCCGTGTGTGTGTGTGTCTGCTGTGTAGAAACCAGTGTCACAATAATGGAGCCAGTGTCCCCAAGCTGACGCTGCTGCCATGACAATAACAGTCTGTGTATGAGATAACTGGGCATGGCTAATGGCAGCAAGAGAACAGAGTCTGTAATCCCAGCCTGAGCTCAGTGGAACAAGCCACAGGGATCAGTCCACCTCAGGCTCTCCTTCCAATTCTGAAGTAACAGGAAGGAGGCAGGGGATAAGATTTTCCCAAACTGAACAGCCGGAAGAATGGAACCATGATCATGAACCACCTTATACTGGTGACGTTATGGTCGGTTCCAAAAGGGGTCAGTATTCACAGTGTTTTTTGTTGTTGTTTTTCAGGATTTGCCCAACGATGCTGATTGGTGGCATTATTTTACATATTAAGCTGGAACATGAGAGATACAGAGGCCTTTTAAAATGTGACCAAGAAGTAGGCTCAGGCTGGATCAATGTCAAATATTTCCCAAGAGCATTCCAGTCATTGTTATGCTATGGATGCTGGCATAATAGTGCCATAGATATGGGAGGATCCTCAAATGACAGTAGTATCATATTGCCAGCCCCCAGTGCCTCACTGAGTCTGTGACAGTAACTTCAGTTAACCATCAGACAGAGCAATGGACACATTGAATCATTCAGAATAACATTCATGGTTTAAAGACAGATCTTCACTGTACTCAATTATGAAAAATCAAGACTGCAAACGCCAGCGAGGAAGGAAAAGTCAAGTGTCATAGCAAATTCAGACAAAACTGCCAGATTTTCTTGACGACTAAAATGAATCAGAGACCTTTACAGAATCACCATAAACACACTGCCCACACTACACACAGACTACAGTTAAAGACTGTTGCCAGCAACTGACAGATCACTTAACGTGATGCAACACACAGCTCCGTGACGCCTGGAGAGAAGCTGATAAGAGCCAGCAAATGAACCTAAAGCTAATCTTCAACTCTGAAACAGCCAGAGCTTCTCACACAAAGACAAGGTCATTACTTACAGCGTGTTCACTGTTTTCTGAGCTGAAACAAGTCAAGAGCATTCTTATCAGGCTAGAGATTAAGTAAGAATGAAAACAAAACTCTGTGTGAGGTGGATTTGTGCTGCCTGAAGCAAATCGAACTTTAATCCGAGCCCAGAGTTTTTGATTACGGCTACTGTCAAGATGGGGATGAAAAATATGAAGCTGAGCAGACAGCTAGCAAAGACGGCCACATGATTCATGAGGTGTCTGTTGACATTGCTTAGTATTAGCTGCAACAGACTGATCGTGTTTATTTCACAGTTACAGTTGTTATTAAAAATATCCCATTTGTGTGACAAGTTGAAAAGTGTAAAATCTACAATTGTGGAAAAATTTTAAATGCTTTTCATTTCATTTCATTTCATTTATTTGTTCATTTTCAGGCACAACAAATACCTATATTGAACATAAAATGCACAAAACCAAAAACAAAATGCTTTGAATGTCTTGTACATCATTAAACGGTTTATCATCACTAAATCCCCAGATGTTTCACATTGGCACATTAGTTATACAACCACTCACATAATAAAGAGCTGTATAAAGAGCTAACATCTCTAAAATGTCAGGAGTAGTTAGTCATTATGAGAAGTGTTTGTGAACTAAAAATCAAGAATGTGGGATACTGTTTGTCCATGATTTGAAGAGCCCAGTGCGTGCTCCCGACCAAGGGAAAACCAATTCTGCAGGGGAGACCTACCTCAGCACTTGTGCAGGTGAAACCAAAGGGAAGATATGCTTCACCATATTTTCTAGTCTTTGGCTTAGAATGAAGTTGGTTTGGAAACATATTCAGCTATGCTTCATCTCCTGCTTTGCGTGGGCGCCCCGTGCTAGCAGTGTCCAAGCGTTTTGGGGTTTTTTTCACCCTTTTCATACCGCCGCCCCCCCCTGCAATGGCTCTGCGCCCCCCTAGGGGGCGGGCCCCACACTTTGGTAAGGTCTGCACTAGGATGATGTCGGCGTAAATGTGCAGTCATATTCATTGTGTTCCCACTAGTGCTGTCAGCGTTAATCTCGTTAAAATGACGTTAACGCCTCAAATCTCCGTTAACAAGTTACCGCGGATCGCCCCGTGTGTGGGGCTGGACGACGTCAACACGTTAACGAGCTAACTGCGCTAACGCACTAGTTCCCACCAATGTAATTGAGCATTGCGTGGCACATCCGACATACTGTTTTACTTTTGTCCATGACGAGCTTACCATCAGGGTCATGCTTCACATGAAAAATAAAATAGTTCCAAACGCCAGATCTGAATGAGGGTGGGGGAGGTTCAATTTCGGGTAGTGTTGAGGCAGTTGCCATGTTGCAACCAGCTTAACTTCTGTCTTGCTAGCTTGCGCTGCGCTCAGTGGATCTGCGCTTGACAGTGCACCCTAGGCGGAGTAGTCGAACGCAGATCCACTGAGCTCTCAACACAGACAACATCTTCAGAAGAAAAGTTGATAAAATAAATTTTAAAATTTTGTATTGTTCGATACACATGCATACCGAACCGAAAGCACTGTATCAAACGGTTCAATACTGATACGAGTATTGTTGCATCATAGATAGATAGATAGATAGATAGACAGACAGACAGACAGACAACCAAATCACAACAACAGTTGCCTCGGGCACTTTATTCTAAGATCAAGCCCATACAATAATACAAAGAAAACAGAAAACCCCAACAATTACACAAACCCCTGTGAACAAGCGCTTTGGTGACAGTGGGAAGGAAAAACTCCCTTTTAACAGGAAGAAACCAGAACCATGCTCAGGAAGGGGCAGCCATCTGCCACATATTTAGATTAGAGTCTTTAAACTTGCATAGTTTTAACACTAACGAAACCAAAAGTGGGATTCTGCTTGATTTTGATAAATTCGGGTCAGTCATCACATCGACAACCATAAATGTAGATGGCAGTTACCATTATGCTCCTCTATGTCCTCATTATTCAGTGTCCCCCTGCCCCATGTTAATGTGTGCAGAGTTTGTTCATCTCTGTGTGGGAGGAGTGGGATTAACAGGCTGCCATGTCCTGCAGGGGAGTGAACAGGGACACAAGCTGCTGGAAAGAACCAGAAGTCTGAGACCGTCAGCCTTTTACCGCCAAGATTCCACTGGCCCTGCTCACACTGCAGTTTACTGTTATAGGGGGACTACATGAGTCATTTTTTGCCATCAGGTTTTGAGGAAGGAACTAAATAGAATGTGCATCTTTATTTACAAGATTTTAATATATTCACTTCACAAGGGTTTCGTTATATTCTACTGTACAAAAGTCTTATGCCGCATTATCTTTTCCAAGGAAAATGGAAAATGGGTGCTTTTTAACCACATTTTTGTTTGTGAACATGTTTGTTTAACCTTTTTAGAGGATATCAGGTGAATACTTCGGAAGTTAAGAGATCCAGATTCTTTGCTTCTAGTGTGAAAAACTAAGCTGGCTGGAGAATTCACAGTTCTGAGACTGTTAGCTTGGTGCTGGTGTTTTACCTGAGCCCAGTGGTTCTTGAACACAATCATGCAGGTCTCTGGGTCCACCCCTTTCAAGACCAGAGACTGTCCATCACGGTTTCCACTGGCAACCACAGAGGCCATCATGGTGACCGGATCGCATATGGGTTAAACCATGTCATAGGCAGGACAGGGAGGGCTTTCCTGGCTGCTCACTGGGCGTTACCAAAACCAGAGAAAGAGAGATGATCACAGGAGACCTGAGGAGTCAAATAAAAGAGGAAACACAAAATGACATCATACACAAAGCCAAAAAAAGTTTGCTTCATAGGATAGCAGCACAATGATACGGCTGGTGATTGCTGCAGACTGCAACCCCTCTTTGCTTCTGCATGGCCAGCTAGGAGCTATGACAAGCATGCAGGAGAGAGAACAATAACAAGCCAAGTCAGAGGAGTCAGTCGAGGAGAGAAAGAGAAGCTGCTTCAAGTTAGACTTTACCGTCTCCTGCAGCAACTCTGCGCTTCACACCGAGCTGTCAAATCGCTTTTGGAATATATCATACGCCCCCATTGGATTCCTGCAGGCCCCTGGACATCACTCTCATTACAGAAATATTTTGTGACATCAGAAGGCGAGCAGCAATTGGGTGTGTCTGCTATGGCTGAGTGTGGGGATCAAGGAGGGTAAAAAGATTTAAATAAAATACAGGACAATGTTAGTTCTGTAGATCACACGTGATTAATTGCATGTCCCGCTTTTACTTCTGGATCAGAAATATTACAAAATGTATGAAAGCACTCTTCACACCGCTTGTTTGGATGAAGAACATATATTATTTTAGCCTGAGGGCAGCTTCGCACAGCAGTTCCAACACTCACACTGGCACCATAAAAAATCTGGAAGAGGCTCAATCTTTTTCCCCCGTAAGAAAGGAACTAGTTTGTTGTTTCCCTTGGAAAGCATGTTCATGGAAAGATTCATACAGCCAAAACTGAACAGAATGAGAGTAGCGCTTTTCGAAACAGAAACATGTGAGCTGCCATATAACCAAAACAATACGAGTTCCCTGCTACACAGTTCCCTGTGACACGCTTCCAGGTACTGTGCAGGCCTTTGCTTCACAAGAAAGAACATCAGGATGTAATACGGATCCCTTTCCTGTGTGTGCCGACAGATACCAACAATCAAACAAAAGGTCCACAGCCCAAGCCGTGGAGAGTACTTTCAACTAGAAATCAGTTTTACCGGATGAACCTGGATAAACTAATTATACTTAATATATATCAACAGCAATAGCATTACTTAACTATTAACATAAATGCGACAGGCTTTTTACCTGTGTATGAGAAGCCCAGCAGCTCATGGGAGCTCAGATTTGTTTTTTAAAACTGTAGATCTGCCTTAATGTTTTGTTAAACATTAAAAACTAGAATAGTTTTAATGTTTTATATTAAAGATAAAGTCCCAAAGCCAGTGAGCCACTATTAAGGCTTGATGTTTTACCTGTTGAGCTGATCTGTGTCCACTTGAGTTGACAAGTTGTGTTGGGAGATCTTTAGGATTCATTACTGGGAAAACATACAGGTTGTTAAGATACTTCAATACGAACCAGCAGACTGACAGAGCCACCCCTACAACCCAACCACTCGCCTGGCTACAAGCAAACTTTCCAGCACTACACAATGACATGACAAAGTGCGTTTGTCTGTGAATACTAACACAATGATGGGACCAAGTCAGGCAGTCCCAATACGGAGGGCGATATGGAAACCGTCACCACAGGGGACCAACTGTAAAACACACAGCAGCTGCACAACATGGGGCCCCAATTTACGGCTTCTAGTCCCCAGCCCCTAAACACATCTCCTGACGAATCACAGCTCACCACCCCCGCCCACCCGTCACTTTGCCCCAATACCACACAGAAACATCTCCGCCACCCATACACGTTAGGCTCACTTTGCCAGGCAAAACTTTTCAGCCATCTGCTTTCAGTTACGAGTGACTGCAGGCCGGTTAGATTCTCAAGAAGGAATGTGAAAGCAGCGTGGAGCGAGCGTGGTGGCAGGATTTCTTACCTCACGTGAATCATCTTCAACTGGCACAGGTCGCTAAGCAGACAAGGACCTCATTCTGCTCCTGTTGCACAAAAAAACAAAAAAACAAAAAGAGAGACAGAGAGAAATATGAAAATATGTCCAGAGAGGAGCAGGAAGCGCCTGTGTGAGAGGCGAGGCATGGTGGGAAGTGACTGGACATGAGTAAGCTGCTCCGAGCACCAGTTGGATGGAGATGAAGAGGAGGTGGTTACAGGGAGGGAGCAAGGGAAGAGAAGGGAAGGAAAAGCAGAAGTGGGAGGGAGTGAAAAGGAAAAAAAAACAAGCTGAGTGAAAGTCTACAGAAAAATGAGGACATACAAGTACAAATTCCAGCAGTGCACGCAAGAAGACTAAGATTACGTATACTGTATGGCAGCACTTAATATTCCTATAAGATTCATAATTCACAGAAGAATAACACGATTGTCCTTTCCAGTTTGTGATGTGACACTGCACAGCAGCCGTCCTGAGCTGCGAGAGGCCAGCTGCCCTCTCTGGCACCAGCACGGCCCATCATGTAAAACATGTCACTTGAGACAGCAGCCTTAAAAGTCTCAGGGTGCAACTTGTAGTTGTGTACACTGTAACACAAACCACAAAAGCTGCACGCTGCCTTCAATCCACGTTGAAATTCTGAGCAGATGCAATTCAGAAATGTGTCTTTCTTGGAAAGTGGGCAAGACTTTCCTAAAGCGTGACGTCGTGTATACAGCAACAGTTGGACGGAGACAGGTGTGTGCGTGTGTGTGTGGTACATGCACGAGTTCTTAGAAAAGCACCAATCCAAGCGTTTGTTGACTCATCTTTGGCTCAATCCCAGCAGTACATTATACAAACTGTCCATCTGCACTCTGTTTAAAGCCACATAACATGCCTACATAAGAATAACACGGGGAGCAGTTTTGTTCAGAGCTCTTCAACCTGTGGACAGGAGGTGCTTACAAATTGAATTGCCAGCCTTGCGATTAATTATTAAACTACATGCAGCTCACAGCTGCTCCAAATTTGCCTTCGTTTTCCTATTTATGGCCTAACAGCAGATATTAGGACGCGTGTTGGCAGCTTGGTCAAACAGGCGCGAGGTGCTGACTGTAGAAGTTGAATCAAGAATGGTTGCTATGATTTAATCATTTATAACTGGTGTGATAACAGTGCTGTGTAATCACACCTCCTGAAAAGATCAAGAGGGATTAATTCCATTTTAAGTGAAGGTGAAGGTGCGGGCATAAATCTTTGTTACACAAAATGATTCATTTAAAACAAGTGAATCAGCTGAGTAGGCTGGGCAACACATGGTGGATTTTGACTTATAACACATGTCAGTGTAGTCGATTCTTCTGCTTTCAGCTGCTCCTTTTAGGGGCCAACACAGCGGACCATCTCTTTAACACACACCACCTGCATGTCCTTCTTCACTCCATCCATGGATCTTCTGCGTGGTCTTCCTCCTTTTCTTCTACCTGGCAACTCCATAGTCAACGCACTTTGTCCAGTATATCCATTAAACAGTTATATATATATATTTAGAAATATATTTGAGGTAGTGTAAAAGTAGTCTGGCCACAATCTGAGATAAATAAACAACAATAGATAACCATGGGACACAGTATAGTGAAGCAACATCAGGCTATCCAACAGACTGTATACAAAGTGGCCCTGAAAAATGAAGCCAATGGGCAAACCAGCATTGTTTTCAAATGACCAGCAGGGGGCAGCTTCTCAGGTTGACCCAAGGCTCCCTCATCAGCGATCTCAATAAATATGTTCCAGCAGAGGTTTTGTTCTCGACTCTGCTATCAAGTTTCCTTTAGTACAGCATGAAGTTCATTTTCTCAATTTGACACTGTTGTAAGGCATCCACTTGCCTCCTCCCTTAAACGACTACCATCTGCACTGCACTGTTGTCACCCTTGTACACAAAAAAGGTCCAAAGTATCTTTTATTCTTCAAACCATCACATTTCTGAACATGAGCAACACAATTACTATTCAACTTATTTTTTACCAACGTTACTATGCAAGGAGAGTGAAAGTGTGTATATTGCGTGCTAATGTCTTATCTCCAACTGATTGTTTTACTGCATGCGGTGTATACTCACGTCATGGGACATAAATGTAACTATCTATCTAAAGAAGATAAATCAGGGATATGCACTGCCACTCAATCTCTCAGTCAGATCCACACCTTTCTCATCCCATCCAGTTTCACAAGTGGATATCAGCTAAACAGCTGAAAGTAAACCAGTAAGTAATTTCCTTCACTTTTTTAAATTCTCTATAAGATCAGTAACCCTTCCAAGCTCTTTTTATATGAAAAAATGAGTCATGTAACAGCTGACTCTTTAGATATATCACCTAACTTAACTGTTGCAGTTTAAGTCTAAGAGCAGATTAATGTTAACCAACTGATCCTACAATAGGAAAAAAAAATACCTGTATGAGCATGGGATTATTTTAGAGATTAAAGTATTGTATTATACATTGTTTGTTAGGATTTCTGGATTAGTTTGTTTACATTTTTTCTGCACCCTGTCTATCGTCTCGCCTTCCTGCAATGCCGTCTGGTCCACATCACACTGCCAGGTTCACTCGTGTGTCAGCATCACTGCCTCTCAACTGAATTTTCAGCTGTATTTCCTCCAGGTTTCCATGTCGAAACAGCCATCAGTTTTTGATACACAGGATAATATCAAAAGCTCCCGTTTCAGAATCACTTGTTCTTTTGTCAGGGGGTACAATTTTCAAGATTAGCTCAAGCAGTGATTAGCTGCTCCTAGACAACAATACACCTGCAACAACTACCTCTCAAATCTCCATTCAGTACAGCAGGTTTCTTGACCTATTAATAGCCAAATAGGTCAGGATTTGGGCCCAGCAACAGAAAGGAGACTATGCCCCGGCGCTTTCTACTCAACTAATACCCCAACAATCCAACGAGCGTCCGACACAGCATGAGAACAAAGCCACTTATTTCTAAGAATTAAAATGTGCTTTTTGAAGAAATCCAGTTCTAGGCCTGTTATGGAAAATCGTGACCTACATTTACAGGTCTCATTTACAGTACCTGCTGTCGCACAAAGAGAGACAGACCACTCTTACCCATAAGTCACTGCTCTACTTGCTCAAAATAACCTGAAATACAGTAGAGTCATGAAAAGGTTTAAAATACAGGCTGCTGAAAACATCTTTTGTCTGTGTGAATCTGTGAGCTGCTTCTGAAAGAGTTTCTCCAGCAACTATCCAATTACAGTAATTTGATAATTACACATATTTGTTGCTTCCACATCAGAGTAACAAACATAATAAGACAGAAAGACTGGGATGCTACCTTCTTTTTCCTACAGCCCTGTGCAAAATATTTGAGCCACCCCTCATTTTTTTTTATACTTTGCTTCAAAGGAGCCAGACATCTTGGTCACTTTTTAAAGTGCTCTTGAGCAATGGGACTCTGGGCTTTTTGAAGGTCTTTCGAAGATTGTATTTCAGTCTAGTCCCTGTACCTGACCACACCACAGAGGAATGTTTTTTGTTATTTTTTGCTTAGGTATTTTTTTATGCCAGTTAACACTGATCTATGAACTATTTAGGCATAATTAGCGCTGTGTCTGAGCATAACAGACATCTCAGCAAAGAGCCAACTTTAAATTGTAGCTTTAGGTACTTTGCTACTAGCAGCCTGCCGCAGGAAAGTATGATTCGTTCCCCTTTCTTTAGCTGAATCTTTAAAAATACCAAAGACTGGGCTGGAAAAGTAGAAGATGAACAACAAGAGAATAAAAACCTACAGCAGATGGACAGCATGTCAAATTCATGTCCTTAAGAAAGAAACTGTAAAACATCCTGCAAAGACCTGACACCAAACCTGAGAGATGAACAGGGAGAAAAGGCAGGTATGCCAATTACACAAGAACTGCACTGAGAATCAGTGATAGCAGGTGTTCTCTATTAATGAATCCAAATGGATTTTTCGCATCAAATCTACACCATTATATACAGAGGTGGTCACGAGAGAGGTACAGCGAAGAGTGTCTACAGCCATCTATAAAACACAGTGGATGCTGTGTCATGGTTGGGACTGCATTTCAGCAATTCCAATCCCATTGGCTCTGCTTTGGGAGTGCCTACCATCGCTAAGCAGCACATCAAAGACATTACATTCGTGCAATTTAATTGCGTGGTCAAATCTTTGTGCTTTTTGGAGTTATTTACCTACTAATTCCATTTAAATTAATGCAGTACGTTGCTTAATTACTCCCAGAAAAAGTAATTCATATGATCTTTCCCTTAGTATATGAACACGAAGCCAACAGCACAAAGCAAAGATGAAAAAACACACAAAGAGACTTCAAAGCGATCGCCACAGTGAGTCTATTTTAGAAACATGAACAGGCAGATATGGAGGCTGCAGCCTGACTGCTCATCACTGACTTTGTCACCAGATGAAATTCAGGGTTTGGCTGCTGGGTTGAGATCAGCATTCACTCAGTTTTATCATCACTCTAAGTTCTTGGCTAGCTTAAATGTTAGGATGCTATCTGCACAGGTGCTTGCAAAGAGCCGAAGTTGTGTTAGCAGCATAATAAGATTGTTTCTGTTCTGGATGCAGTTTGCACGTTGCCAAAGTGCTCTCATTCTTTTGTGTCCATATTCACGTTGCAGACTGTGCCACCATTTACCTCTTCCAGTACACAAACTGAAATCAGCTGATTGTAGCGCAAGTGCGACTGGAATCACTAAGCAGGACGGATATAAACAAGCAGACTAACAATTCCAAGGAATTGAACTACTGGGAAGTGGTTCTCTAGAAAAAAACAGTTCTCCGTACTGGGGATCATATTTTGATCCACCATTGGTACCATCCAATTGGCAAAGGGTTCATTTTTCAGTAGGCAAAGATTCCAAACACACTATCAGTGGAGTAAAAGCATATCTGGATAAATCAAAAAAACTGTCTGGGGTCTTTCTGTGTGGCGTTTGTATGTTCTCCCCATGTCTGCGTGGGTTCTCTCTGGGTACTCCACCTTCGTCCCACAGTTTGGTA